TCACGCCCCAGGGCAGGCATGCATCTCAGGGGGCAGAGTTTGATGGGGTCATGGGGCGGCCCCGTGGCTTCTCCCAGGCTCTGGAAGGAGACTGAGCCGCCCAGAGGGCAGGAAACCGCCAGGAGGGCCGTCACACTGGGATGCTCAGCCTGACACTTCTGCCATGTTGCCAGCTGTTGGTCCATCCTGTCCCTGAGGGCATCCCCCCCCGCCCCCCCAGGGCCTGGAGCCCAGACTTGTCTCCCAGGATGTGCGCAGCTTCCAGAAGTGTGGCCCAGACCAGGCCTGCCTGTTGGGGTTGGCGCCCTGCCTGGGACGGGGCAGCCCCTGGAGCCAGGGCGCCCCTCAGCTCCCCCACTGAAGGCCGGGGAGCTCTTCCTTGTCCCCTGTGGGGTGCTTCTTGCAGCCAAATGAGCCCGCAGGAGAGGGCAGCCCGCCTCAGGGGGGAGGGGAGGAGAGGTAATGGGGCTCTCGTTATAAAAAAGGCTTCGTATTGCTGAACGCTGGTCGGCTGGAGCAGGGCTGCGGGCAAGGGAGTGAGCAGCATGTGCACGGCCGGGGGCGCCCAGCAGCTGGCGGAAGCCCATCCACATCTGTCCCCGAAACTGATGACCCCACATGGGAGCAGAGGCTTGTCCAGACCTCCGCCATCGGGCTTTGGTACAGGGCGAGCGGCTCCAGGAGGCGGGGACCCCGTGGGCCCCCCTGTACCCCCTTCCCAGGACGACCTCACGCAGGAGCTGCGGCAGGGGCGGCGGAAGGAGGAGCCTCGAGGGGCAGACACGCCCGCCGCCTTCGCGCGACGATGGCGACCCCTGGTGGTCATCGCAGGAAGCGGAGCGCCCGCACCCGCGCCTCCCGCTTCTCTCCCGGTTCCCTGGCCGCCCCCTCCCTCCCTCCCCGGACCCCTCCCCGCCACCGGCCGCGCCCCGCCCTCGGCTGGGCCTGCTGACACCTGTCCCCTCCCAGCTCGCCCAGCGCCGCGCCCCGGCTCCTCCTGGGGACACACCCGCCCCGCCCCGCCCCGCCCCGGCCAGCTGAATGCCCCGACTGCCCGCCTCTGCCTCCCTCCCCGCAGGCGGCCTGTGCCCTGTGCCTGCTGTGGCCCCGCAAACACCCCGCCGCCAGCCCCTTCCCGGCTCCCGCGGGCAGTTCTGCGGCGTCAGAGGCCCTGGGGAAGGCGAGCCGCCAGGCAAAGGGCTTCCTCGCCCTGCACCTGAGCTCCCGCCGCTGCTGCCCAAGCTCCTGGCAGCCAGGCCGAGACTGGCCACAGGCTCCCCGCACAGCCTCGCTGGGGCTGGGGTGCGGGGGAGAGTGCAGGGGTGAGGGGCGGAGGTCACCAGCGCCCCCGTGAGGACGCAACAACAGCCCCTTCCCTGGGCTGGATTGACAGCCAGGCCGGTGCATGTCAAAGGTCAGGCAGCCCCAAACCCCGGGTTCCCGTTAAGGACCTGAGGGTGATGCGGGTGAGGACAGCTAACCTTCATTAGCCCCTTCCTATACACCAGGCACAGTGTCGTCCCCTTCACATACACCTGCCTCAGTGTATCCGCACATCAGCCCTGAGACGCTCCGTGTGCCGCCAGTGTTTCGGACACAGAAACGGACGCTTAAAGCAGCGGTAGAAGCTGCGGAAGGAGCACGAGGAGAAACCCCAGGTCCGAGGCCGCCTCCAGGTGCTGTCAGCTGCCAGCCTAGCTAGGAGGTCACCTGGATCTCCCCACGGAGATTGCTGGCGTTTTCCCCCTCCGGGGGGATTTCAGGTGACTCCCCTCCTGCCTGAGTGGTCCTATTTGTGGTCCTCACTGCACAGACTCGCTCTGACCGGCCCCTGTGAGCCCCTGAGCTGTCCTCCTTCCAGACGGAGGCTCCCGTTCCCAAAGGCTTTGTTCCCTCCAGAACCCTGCGACATGCCTGCCTGGAACTGACCTCTTAGAGAACCCAGCCGGCCAGGCCTTCTGCACCCCCACCGTCTCCCCGTGCGGAGAGCGAAGCCCCCGGCACACAGCCCAGGGTACACATTCCATTGTTACCAGGAAGAGGACAAGACCTGCGTTCCTGTCTTCTTGAAATAAAGATTTCCATCAGGAGATAAAGTGTAGCGAGGTAAGGAAGAACTTAGTGGGAGCAGCAAAACTATACTGAGGACGGTGAGACAAGGAAGGGCACAGAAGAAGCAACGGGAGAGCCCAGGCTGGGCTGCTTTGCTCACTGAGAAGTCAGAGAAAAGGGGGCCTTGGAGACAGGGCCAGGGGTCAGCCTGGGAGGAGCTGCCGCTGCCCATTGCTCCCCTGGTTGCAAGTCTCATGAGGTCCCTTAGGGAAAAGGGAGAGGAGTTGGCTTTTACCCCTGGGGGAGAGCTTGCCCTGGGTCCTTCATCCTGAGGCTATTTATCTCTCTCTCTTGCAGGTGGGAATCTTAGGGGAGGTCTCAGGGGAGGGTCTCAATAGAATATTCATCAGCTTCCCAGGTGTGCTCTCAGGGTCCTGGTCTCAACTGATTGGTCAGCACCCTGCACGGGGTCATTGATCAAAGACCCTCAGCTGGTCAGCACCCAGCACGGGGTCATTGATCAAAGACCCTCAGCTGGTCAGCACCCAGCACGGGGTCACTGATCAAAGACCCTCAGCTGGTCAGCACCAGGGCATGGAGTCACTAGTCAATGACCCTCAGCTGGTCAGCACCAGGGCACAGGGTCATTAGCCAATGACCCTCAGCTGGTCCTAACGCGGCCAAGGAGTCACATGTCTGGTTTTGCTGCTTCTCTGGGCCTGGAGCTGAAATACACTGAGGCCTAGACGTTATCTTTTGAGAGGAAAAGTCAGGGGCTGGAAACGCAGGACCAGCTACCTGCTAGGGGAGGAGAGGTTACCCTGGGGCGAAGTCCTTGTTTTCCCAGTCTTGCCCCTTGCTAGGCACCTGGGGCCTTCTGCCCTGGTGAGTTTCTGTACCCAGCCCATCGTCCTTGCTTGGCTCACGTCTGTCTGACTGCCTGTAACACCATATTGAAAGAATGAATGAACGGATGAATAAATGTATACATTTCCTAGAGCGGCTGTAACAAAGCACCACAAATAAGGCAACTAAATCAACAGAAACATTCCCTCAGTTCTGGAGGCCAGAAGTCTAAAAGCGAGGTGCCTGCAGGCCACGCTCCCTCGGAATCCTGCGGGGAGGAACTTTCCTGGTCCCTCCAGCGTCTGCTGGTCGCTGGGGATCTTAGCATCCTTGGCCTGTAGATGCATCACTTCCATCTCTGCCCCGCACCACCCCCTCCCGCTGCCCCCACCCCCACCCCGTCTTCACAGAACCCTTGCCCTGCATGTCAGCCTGTGTCTCTCTTCTCGTTAGGACACCAGTCACATTGCGTGAGGGCCTCCCTAGTGCCCTCATCACTCGAGTACATCTGCAGAGACCCTACTTCCGAGGAAGGTCATATTCACAGGAACCAGGGGTTGGGATTCAACATATCTTTTTTGGAGGACACAATTGAACCCATAACAACTGCCAAGGGCAACTTGCTTGTGGTCTGAGTTTCATTTACAACGAAGGCTCTCAGGGCTTGCTTTGTCCCTGCAAGCAAAAGGGCTACAGCTTTTAGGGGTGGTGCCGCCTTACACCCTGCAAGGATTTATTGTTTCACCCTTGATTCCTCTTCCTTTCGATGAGACCATCAGTGCTGCCTTTGTGGTCATGGTAATGACTGTGTGAACTCCCAGTTTCAGTGCCCGTGTTTCTCTCCCTTCTGGGCAATGAATGACAAGAAGCATTCTAATGTCTAAAGAAGTTAAACTGACCTCACATTCTTACTGAAGTTCGCAGTCCTCTGTGTGGTCCTTAAGCCTCGTTACAGTCCAGCCCCAGCCTCCTTTCCTGCTTTTACATACTTGTCTGGCTCTTAGCAGAACAAGCAAGACAGGTGGCAAGGCCTTAAAGACAGACTTCTTTGCAAATATTTTCCACAAGTGACTACCCAGATTTCATGTTCCATTAAACATGAAAACCTTCCTTAAAGTAGAAAAGGAGGCACTAGATTATATCATAGCATGCTTATGGCTCTAGTCAAATAACCTGGGTTTTTAAAAATATGTCATTCTGAAACTCCTCTCACTCCTATTCCTCATTCACAGTAAAATGGGCCTAAAGTCAATTGCTGGAAGCTACCCATTGTCTACACCTGTGGTCAGCAAACTGCTGCTCGCAAGCCACATGCGGCTCTTTGGCCCCTTGAGTGTGGCTCTTCCTAAACCTTAGGAGTACCCTAATTAAGTTAATAACAATGTACCTACCTATATAGTTTAAGTTTAAAAAATTTGGCTCTCAAAAGAAATTTGAATCGTTGTCCTGTTGATATTTGGCTCTGTTGACTAATGAGTTTGCCGACCACTGCTCTATACAAAGTCACCGCCAATTGACCTGATCATTGATGGCAAAGGGCTTAGAAAAACCAAAAGGTATAAAAAGTCTGCAGTCTTGCCCCAAGATACAAAAACTGAATTTTAAACAATGTCATAGCATACATGATTTAAAGAGTATATGAAAAAGAAGTCACATCAAATCAAGTACAAAAATATCCAAACTGCCTATTATAAGCTGTAATGTTTCCATTAGTCCGCACAGATCTGACAGAGAACTTAGCAGTTTCCCAAATGCGCATCATTTACTCTTAAGCACTGCCACCTTTGCAGAATGGAGAACTGGAGGAGTGACACTGCTTTTAGTGTTTTTAAAAATACAAAACCCTTCCCTATGAATTAATGAAGGAAAGAAATGGCTCTTCCAGGCTTCTTGATAACCAACCCTGTGCCTGGAAATATAGACTACATCTACTGCTTAACAGGGAAAAGTTATACTACTCGAGAAATCGTTCTCCAACTGGGATAACCACTGAACTTGTAAATGGTATTTCTTTGTCTGATAATTTTAAGGAATTCTCAGTATTCACAGAGATTAGTGTTTTGCCTTGGTGAAAAGAAAATGAAGTCGCAAGACAATCTGAATTGAAATCATCTTCACTAGTTTAACTTGCAGAAAATATATTTTGGATTAAAGATTATAATACATTACTGTCTTATTTTTTAAACACAGAGTAAAGTTGCTCTTGGTAACATTAACTCACCCACATGGCACAATATTTTGGAGTAAAGTCTGCTCAACAATAACAACGTACACACAAAGTAACAGGTGAATTAACTTTGAGAACGTCTCTGCCTTTAAAATCAGCAATATTGAGTTTACTCTTTAGAATAGCACATATACCAATGTTCTGCATAGAAAAATGTCTAAGACATTTTAAAGGGCTAAATTTTCCAGGATTGGAATGATTCCTTCATACATAACTGGTGCAGTAAATTTAATAAGAATGTGTTTTTCCTGACCTTCAAGTTCTGAGCCATGCCTGAAAAGTTCTAAATGGGGGCGGGGGGGAGGGGGGGTTAATCCAGTTTCTGTCTGCTAGGAGCAAGGCAGCAAAACATGTGTTCAACCCTTCATGAAAAGATAAAGCAGAACGAAAGTGATATATATCTTCAGATTATAAACAGGATTGTATGTTACAGTCCATCATCCTGACAATGAATGTTAAGGGCTCCAACAGTAAAGGTTTCAGTCTAAAGGTTGTGGGTCGGCAATAGGCATGGTGTGAAGTACTTCATCTAGGAGCTGAAGGGCCCGGTGTAAGTGAATCTCAATCCAGCAAGGCGTCTCCTTGATGCTCAGAATTGGGCGATCTGATCCCCAGCCTTTCACAAAGCTCATCCTGAGGATGCATAAGCGACGAAGGTCATCAACCCCGATCCCAGCAGCAGCTGACAAACCTAACAGAAAAGATTGGAAAGACATCAGGAGGACAGGCTGATCTCTTCCATTCTCCCTACATCTTAAATTAATGACGTGACAGCTCTCTTTAATTCACTCTCCCCAGCATATAATTCTCTGTCCAAGTGCCAAGAAGTACAGACCTAAATGTTATCAACAGAGACTGAAAACTTTTGGTTAAGACAATTTGCATTCTACCTGGGTCATCTGCCTACCACCAATTATAAAGTAAATTACTGCAACCTACCCACGCCCGACCAATTTTTCTCTTTAGGAATGGAGGTGAAGGGAAAAGAAGCAACTTGATTTTAAGGGGTAGTGCCATGTCCACAGGATGGGTCATGCAAACTTCCTGTCTATCTAAACAGCTCAGTTCAGAGTAAGACATGACTAATAATGAAACAGTTAAGAGTCTTGGTTCCATTAAAGCTTCTTGGAAGCCCCCGACGATGTCTCTCCATTGCACAATGTAACAGAGAATATGCAGCCACTCTATTAGGGCATGAGAATGAGAACTTTACTATTCTTCAGTAAAAGCATGTTGTTTATAACATCAAAACTGGCAAATTAAAGGCTTAGGTGCCCGAATTTTTTTTAAAAAATCAAATTCTGTAAATGGATATGCCTTATCTCTCTAAATTGTAAACTCCTGAACATCAGTCGCAATGGCGACTCTGTATCTAATTTTCCAGTCAGAACATGTAGCCCTGGCTGGTTTGGTTCAGTGGATAGAGCGCCGGCCTGTGGACTGAAGGGTCCTAGATGGGTTCGATTTTGGTCAGGGGCACGTACCTCAGGTGCAGGCTCCTCCCTGGCGCAGGCCCTGGTTGGGGCTCTTACAGGAGGCAACCAATCAATGTGTTTCTCTCACATTGATATTTCTCTCTGTCTTTCCCTCACTCTTCCAGTCAGGATGGAGGAGTAAGGTATGCATGACCACCTTCTCTCTCTGCTCCATTTACATGCAAAAGACAGAAAAACTATTAAAAGTTGATAAGCTCACCTGGCTGGTGTGGCCCAGTGGTTGTCAACTATGAACCTGGAGGTCACGGTTTGACAGGGCACATGCCCGGGTTCCGCGCTCAATCCCCAGTGTGGGGCAGGGGAGTGAAGGAGGCAGCTGATCAATGACTCTCTCATCATGGATGTTTCTATCTCTCCCTCTCCCTTCCTCTCTGAAATAAAAATATATTTATAAAAATTGATATCCTCCAAGCCAGTCATATAATTCCTGTGGATATACCAGCAGGTGGCAATAGCCAAAACAATCCTGAAAAAGAACGAAGCTAGAGAATTCACACTTCCCAATTTCAAACCTTGCTGCAAAGCTACAGTAATCAAGGCAGAATAGTACTGTCATAAGGATACATACACAGATCAATGAAATACAATTGATAGCCTAGAAATAAGCCTTTACATTTAAAGTCAACTTAATTTCAACAGGGGTATCAAGATAATTTGATAAGGGAATCAGTCTTTTGGACAAATGGTTGTTGAAACAACTGAATATTCTCATGCAGAAGAATGAAGCTGGATCAACATCCTTAAACTATGCACAAAAATTCACTAAAAACGTGTAATAGGCCTAAATTTAGAGCCAGAACTATAAAACCCTTAGGACAACCCACAGGAGTAATACATTTTCAGGACCTTGGAGTAGTCAATGGTTTCTTAGATATGACACCAAAAACACACTCATTCAAAGAATAGATAAACTCAAAGATATCAAAATGAACAACTTTGATGTGGGTTGCAAATCATATCAAGAAAACGAAAGATAAGCTAAAGAACAAAAGAAAATATTTTCAAATTATATATCTGACAAGGGACTGATACCCAGAATATACAAACAACTCTTACAACTCAATAATAAAAAGACAACCTAATCTAAAAAATGGACAAACGATCTAAATAGACATTTCTCCAAACAAGACAGACAAATGACCAATAAGCACATGAAGAGATATTCAACATTATTAGCTATTAGGGAAATGCAAATCAAAAGCACCATGAGATACCACTTCACATCCACTAGGAAGGCTAAATAAAAAGGATACCAACAAGTGTTGATGAGCATATAGAGAACGGAAACCCTCATATATATATTGCTGGCGGAAATGTAAACGGCATTGCCACTTTTAAAAACAGTCTGCAGTCCCTCAAAAAGTTAAGTATAGAGTTACCTATGATCCTGCAATTCCACTCCTACTTATATATCCAAGAAAATGAAAACGCACATCTACCTAAAAACGCCAATATGAATGTTCATAGCAGCATTATGCCTAGTAGCCAAAAAGTGGAAACAACCCATAGTCCACCAAATGATGATGGATAAATCCACAGTGGACAGCAGGTACTCAGGGTACCAGGACCTCAAACAGTAGGTGCAGAGGACGGAAATTTAGCTTCTTCGAATAAAATGCAGAGAGACAATAGCCAGGCTCTCTGAGGTCTATAAATGGGCATCTGCCCATGAATCAAGTGCTGGTGAAACACCTTACAGCTAATTCAGAAATGCACTTAGGCATGAAGTCTTGCCCAGGGCAGAGGTAAGCATCAGAAAGACCTCTGACACAGGGCTTAGGCCCTGAGCAGACCCAGGGGACTGGAACTCAACTTCCTCAAGGGACGCAATTCCTCTCCCTTCTAAATATACAAGTAGGCTCTGACACGTGGACCCCCGGGTGCCAGGCTAAGGCAGAATTGCTCCAAAGGGAGAAACCATGACAGGAAGTAAACACAAAAAATAAGCCCTAGCCAGCATGGCTCAGCTGGATGAGCGACATCCTGTGTCCTGGAGGGGCGTGGGTTCGATTCCTGTTAGGGTAACTGCGGAAGGCAGCTGATTTCTGTTTCTCTCTCACATCAATGCTTCTTTCTCTCTCCCTTCCTCTCTCTCTAAAATCATATATATATATTTATATATATATATATATATATATATATATATATATATATATATAGTGTGGAGAGAGAGAGAGGGCTATCTAATTACAATATTTCTTTTTTTAAAATATATTTTATTGATTTTTTTACAGAGAGGAAGGGAGAGGGATAGAGTGTTAGAAACATCGATGAGGGAGAAACATCGATCAGCTGCCTCCTACACACCCCCCACTGGGGAAGTGCCTGCAACCAAGGTACATGCCCTTGACCGGAATCAAACCTCGGACCCTTCAGGCCACAGGCCGACACTCTATCCACTGAGCCACACCGGTTAGGGCTACAATATTTCTTTTTCAAACAGTGTTTGTCATCAAAGTAAAATGAATTGAATATGTAATAATTAATAAAAAATACCTTAGGCTTAATTTGATTGAGTAATTAGAATTTCCTTTCATAAAATCCTAAAGATTGGCTATGAACATTTTACAGATTTATAACAAAGGAAGATGCTTGTGATTTCACTCAATATTTTCAAGAACCTGTGTTAGTCTAAAACATTTAACAAATTTGCTACTAAAATAATAGGGCATGAATGTAATCACAAAACGAGGTAACCAGCCGTGTCAGTAAATGCCCCCAAGGAAATGTGTTTAACAAACAACATAATTTCTGGGATTTAATACATGAAAGGACATTTTTCTTCTCCTCCCCCCTCCATCTCAATTCTCTAAACAAATAGAGCCTTCCAAGTCTGAGATAGGAGAACATCCACTAACCTTAACATACATTTTGGGGCAGATCTTATGAACACCTATTCCGCGCATATGCCCAGTTTTTCTGTCCAAGTAGTAACTCTGTACAAAGACTGCCTGGTCACTGAGGCACCTGACCCAGACATCACCTTCACCTTTACATTCCAACTGCACACCTTTGCCTATGCACAACCTTAGGAAGAAAAAGGGAATTACATTTTATTTTGATAAGTATTAAAAAATATGTATTAGTTCAGATGACATACCATACTCAATATTAAAAAATGTAAAAAGAATAAATAACTTCATATAACTCCATAACCAAAAGATTGCCATTGTATATTTTGTATATTTCCTTCTTTTTAAAATATCTCATACTATATAATAAAAGCGCAATATGCTAAGTGTCCGACCGTTCATTCAACCGTTCCACCAGTTGCTACGATGTGCACTGACCACCAGGGGATAGACATTCTGACCAGTAGGTTAGCTTGCTGCTGGAGTCCGGCCTATTGGGACTGGGTGAGATGGGCCGGACATGCCCTGGAGCCCTCCCGCGGTCCTTCCTCGGCCAGCCAACTTCCCGCGGTCCCTCCCTGACCGGCAGACCCCCACCAGCCCCAATCAGGACTGGGAGAGATGGCCCCAGTCGGCCCCAATCACCTACCAGGCCGAGGGACCCCACTGGTGCACGAATTCATGCACTGGGCCTTTAGTTCATATATAATAATGATGGGCATCTATGTATATATATAAAAGGCTAAGCAATCATCCGACTAGCTGACCGGCTAGTTGGTATGACATACACTGACCACCAGGGGCCAGATGCTCAACGCAAGAGCTGCCGAGCTGCGGTGACTTGGCAGTGGTGGTTTTTGGGTGATGCACCCTGGAACCAGAGAGGAGGGAGCCCAATTCCTCACAGGGCCACGCAATTCCACCTTTGGCCGTGGGTTATGTTGTTGCTGGGGCACTGTCGGCCCCGAATCTGGTTTACTGCTGAGCTGTGGTGACCGCAGACACCCTTTGAGTTGAGCACTGCCCCAGGTGCGGCCGGCCAGGGAAGGACCGCAGAAAGTTGGCTCCAGGGCGTGTCTAGCTGTCTCACCCAGTCCCACCCCACCAGCCACCTTCTAATTAATTTCTTTCAATGTGCATGAATCCATGCACCAGGCCACTAGTATACATAATATAGTGCTTAGTTACTATGTGTCAGAAACATTTAACATAAATTCTCACTGAACCCTCAATTCAATGAGCTAACTATTATTATTCCCACTTTATAAATGATTAAACTAAGGCTTATAGCTACACTGTCCAAACTGATAGCCACTAGCTACAAGTGGCTATTTAAAATAATTTGAAAATTAAGCTAATCACATGACTACATTTTAAGTGCTCAAAGTTACACATGGCTAGTGGCTACAGCACTGGACAGCACAGATACAAACCATTCCCTTCATCACAGACGTTTCTATTACACAGCACTGGCTTAGGGACCAGGTGATTTACCAAAGACACACAGCTAAGTGATAGAGCCAAGATTATGTATTTACACACACACATTTTCTTAGAGTTGAGATTACAAAGTACCTAACACTGTGTATGTTTTCCTATAATATTTCATCTTAAGCATTTACATGTGATTATATAAACATTTTATTAACATTTTAATGACTACATAAAAATAAAAGTTTATCAAAATGTACTCAACCACTTCCCTTTCATTGTTCCCCAACATTATAAATAACACTTGCAGACCCATGTCTTCATTTTAAATTATTTCCTTTCAATAGGTGTGTAGAATACATGATTGGAGGATACGAAAATTAGTTTTTAAATTGGATTCCAAAAGGTCTTATTACTATTCAAAACAGGAACCTCACTTACCAACAAAAGAATCTTAAAGATGTTGTGGCACAATGAAATATTAAGCAGCAACAAAAAGAATAAAACCTTGTCATTTCGACAACATGGGTATTATGCTAAGTAAAATGAGTGAGGCAGAGAAAGACAAATATCGTATGGTTTCATTTATATGAGGAATCAAAAAACAAAACAAAATAAAAACAGGCTCATAGAAACAGACCAACAGAATAGTTACCAGAAAGGAGGTGGTGGGGGGATGGGTGAAAAGAGAAAGGGGAATACTATACAATAAAAGCCTAATATGTTAAGTGTCCAGTCGTCTGGTTGTCTGTTCAACCAATCAAAGTGTAACGTGCTAATGATATGCTAAGGCCACTCAACTGCATGCTATGACATGCACTGACCACAAGGAGGCAGATGCTCTGACTGGCAGGTTAGCTTGCTGCTGGGGTCCAGCCGATTGGGACTGAGCAAGATGGGCCGGACACACACTGGAGCCCTTCCACAGTCCCTCCCCAGCTGGTCAACCTCCCGCATCCCTCCCCGGCCCTGATCATGCATCAGTGGGGTCCCTCAGCCTGGCTTGCACCCTCTCGCAATCCAGGACCCTCAGGTGATGTTGGAGAGCCGGTTTCGGCCCAATCCCACAGACCAGGCCGAGGAACCCCACTGGTGCACGAATTTGTGCACCAGGCCTCTAGTCTCTATATAAAAGGCCTAAGTGACCGTTACAACCGAACAACTGGAATGACAGGTTGACCAGTTGCTATAATGCACACTCAAAGCAGGAGCTGCCCCCTTGTGGTCAGTGTGCTCCCACAGCCAACCTCCCGCAGCCCTTCCCCCCCTGCCGGCCAACCTCCCGGGATCCCTCCCCACAGCCGGCCAGCACCCTGATAGGCCTCGATCGCCAGCCAGGCTGCAGGACCCCACCCATGCACGAATTCATGCAGTGGGCCTCTAGTTTAGTTAATAATATTGTGATGTTTAACATGATTGATTACTAGAATTAGTGGGGCGGTCACACTGTAAGGTATAAAAATGTCGAGTCACTATACTGTACACTTGAAACTAATATAACCAAGATTGTATACCAACTTTACATAAATTTAAAAAATAAATTTTTAAAAAAATCATTTTTTTCATATTTTAAATAACAAACATCTACAATACAAGTGGAATGCTTACTGATTCTGAATTTTCAAGATGACATTTATTCTTTTTTCCTAGTGAAACACACATTATCTACACTGAGAAATATAATTGACTAAAAGGCAATGTAGTGTACTCAACTTTTAAAATACCTATATAATCAATACCTTGCCCTCTCAATGGCTTCTGTCCTGTGGACATTGGAGAGTTGACCCAAGCAAAAGCGATCTCCTCCAGAAGGGTCCACATATCCATCAACAGTAACAATAGGGCAGCTTGACGGAACCTTAAATGTCTCTCCTACTTGAACATCCATTTCAAAGTAAGCGATGGAACACCAATACTCAGGAGCTAGAGGAGACAAATGGGAGCAAACGTCACTCCATAAGGCAAAGCTTTTCCTAAAATAAAGGCTGAAGGGACAGAAGAGGAATCTGAAAAGCACCCAAAAGAATTTGGTAAAATGACGATGCTTTAAATATCTAGGCTTTTCCTGTCTTCTATTTTTCAGCTCAGTGCCTAGCATTCTTGAAACTCTAGTCGTTTTTAAAATCTGGAATTCGGTTCTTACCTCAAAACACTCAGTCAACTGAGAATTCAAAGGACAAAAGTAATCAGGACAGAAAATAAATTATTTTACCATGGTATTTCATTTCACTGCACATATTTCTTTCATTTTTAAAATTGATTTTGAGAGAGAGAGACTAATTTGTTGCTCCTCTTATATTTATGCATTCATTGGTTGATTCTTGCATGTGCCCTGACAGGGGATCGAGCCTGCAATCCTGGCGAATCAGGACAATGATCTAACCGCTAAAGCAGACTAAACTTTTCTTTGTCTAAACACACTGACTTAAAGACATATTCCAGGGAATATTATCAAAAACATCAATCCATAGCATATTTTTCTAGTTCCCTAATTGAGTGTAAGGACCCAAGCTAGTGAGCCATTCATTCAGACCAGAGTCAAGGTTAATTACACTCTAACTAGACAGCTGCCATGAGCGGGAATTCTCAATTGTCTCTTGGCTGAAAGGTCATTTGTTGTATCTCTTGGTGAAGTCAAGTCATGTTAACTACTACGATTTTAACGCTGAAGATGGATTTAGTGTATTCATTTGAACAACAACAAATGATTTAAAATAATTGTGAATGATTAGAGGAAAAAGGAGGCACTACTTGGTTGGGTTTGTAAAGTTTTCTGCTGATTAACCAATTACTTATATGCACATCAATGTGCTCTTTATGAACTCTGATTGGACTAGAACCGTGGTCGGCAAACCGTGGCTCGCGAGCCACATGTGACTCTTAGGCCCCTTGAGTGTGGCTCTTCCACAAAATACCACGTGTGGATGCGCCCGTACAGTGCAATTGAAACTTCATGGCCCATGCGCAGAAGTCGGTATTTTGTGGAAGAGCCACAGGGGCCAAAGAGCCGCATGTGGCTCGTGAGCTGTGGTTTGCTGAGCCACAGTTTGCCGACAACTGGACTAGAACTAGAAGCAATAAAACCTTTAGCAATCTGAAAAGATAGAAAAATAGATCTTTTTAACCCCCTTTCAAAAAAATCTTAAAATGAAGTATAACTGAGGCTTAAAATACATTTTTTAAAAACCTTGTATTCTATGTATCTAAGTGATTTTTAAAATGTTGTCAAGAAAGAAAATACTTTCCAATGAAGAATTAATAAAACAGACCATGAAGATACAAAAAATCAAAATTTCAAATGTTTTTCCAAACAGATCAAATCAACTAATCATGAATACAAACATTCCTTTAAATTTTGTATTATCATTACAACGTGAAAACTAGTGACATAAAGGGCCTTATTAAAAATCCCATTTTGAAATATTTATGAAGTTATTCCTTAGAGTAAAAGTCTTCAGTAAAGACATCACATTCTGCTCTGAACCAGAAGCTTCAGCAGACACCTGGCAGGGATGCTGCGTGAAGCTAAACTAGAGGTTCTCAAAGCCAACAGACCAAGCACCCATGCTCTGGCAGCTAAAGCCAGTAACAGCCCTGAAAAGAGGTCTTTACACAACGAGTCCAAAAAGTAAATTTCGTTACAAACAATGCCCTGAAGTCAGGAATGTTTACAACGATGATTAACAAAACGAGGTGCAAATACATGCCTTTCCTAGTTCACACTGAAGAACACTATCCAGAAGGAAAGCTCCATCGTGAGCAACGCTTTTCATGAGAGTCAGTTCAGGGTGGGGAAAAGGAGTTGTAAAATCTTCTTGTTTAAATAAAAAAGCATACTGTTATCATGAACTGCAATATCTGTACTTGCACTTAAACGTATTTTATTATTTTCCAGTCACCAAGGGTTTTTTGTTTGTTTCCCTATTATTTCACACACCACACAACAAGGATGGTTACATGAAGCTACACTCGGAAAAGCTGGCCCGCTCGGCTAGGAAGAAGAGATGTACCACAAACCAGGAATGAAAAATGACCATCCATCGTGAAGAGGGCATGAGGCCTAAGAAAGCAGGAGGAAGGTGGTTCGTGCCTGTGAGGACAGAGAGGGCCAGAGGTCATCTAAATGGGTTCCAGGGAACTTGGCAGTGCTGGGATACCGCACACCATGTGAGAGCTTTTCTATCCCCCTCCAAATTTGCTAACCAGATGAGAGGGAACATTCTTACTTTTAAAACAGGAGCAGGTCCTAAGAATTCATTAAGTTCATTAGTCATTTCTAGATCTCTCTTTGCTTTTTTTTGCTTTTCCTTAATTGATTTTTTTACAGAGAGGAAGGGAGAGCGATAGAGAATTAGAAACATCGATGAGAGAGAAACATCGATCAGCTGCCTCCTGCACACCCCCTACTGGGGATGTGCCCGCAACCAAGGTATATGCTCTTGACTGGAATCGAACCTGGGGCCCCCCAGTCCCCAGGCCGACGCTCTATCCACTGAGCCAAACCGGTTAGGGCTCTCTTTGCTCTTTTGCTCCAAGAATCAAGCGTCATGTAAGTCACTGGCCTACAGCTTCACCAAGTTACCATCACCACGGGCTGAAGTCACTCAGTCAGAGAGCACTTTCTTAATGCCCCAACACCTTTCAAAGGCAGTGGGGCTGTTCTCTGCCTACTGTGCGGACCCTTGTTCCCAAAGTAGTGAAGTTGGGTGCTCATCACTGGCCAGAGAAAAGGTTGTAAAAGGCTGAGTTAACAACATGAAACTTTTTTTTACAATATAAGAACTTAGCTAAATATGCTTTGTAATGGGGAAACATAAAGCACAGTTTTGTCAAACAAATGCTGTTCAATTATAATGGAAAATCTACATCTCCAAGGCATTATCTCTAATTTCTGAAATCAAGTCTTTCAAGAAAATTTTTTTAAAAAATATATTTTATTGACTTTTTACAGAGAGGAAGGGAGAGGGATAGAGAGTTAGAAACATCGATGAAAGAGAAACATCGATCAGCTGCCTCCTGCACACCCCCCACTGGGGATGTGCCCGCAACCAAGGTACATGCCCTTGACCGGAATCGAACCTGGGACCCTTGAGTCCGCAGGCCGACGCTCTATCCACTGAGCCAAACCGGTTAGGGAAAGAAAATATTTTTAAATTTGGTTAACCTTTTTAGAAGTTAGAAATTTGGATAAAGCACCTAAGAGATTCATTATGAATTATTCTTTATAGTACTTAGATCTGAATGGGATGCCCTGTGAGAATCTTTTATGACACATAAAAGTCCTCTCACCGGTGTGGCTCAGTTGGCGTGTCGTCCTGTACACTGAGAGGTCCGGGGGTCAGGGCACATGCCCAGGTTTTGGGTTCAATCCTTAGTCTCTCTAGGTGTGTACAGAAGGCAACTGATCTAAATTTTTCTCTCACATTGATGTTTCTTTCTCTCTCTCTCTCTCTCTCTCTCTCTCTCTCTCTCTCTCTCTCTCCTACCATCAATAAACATATCCTTGCATGAGGCTTAAAAAGAAAAAAGAAAAGAAATGCTGAGTGGAGTAGATATTACATGGTGAGGAGAAGGCAATATGAGGGAAGCCTTCTCAATAGGGAGATCAGGTGCTCTCCCCGCTTGGTGCAGCCCAGGCCTTTCCCGACCCTCTCTCCCTGCCTCACCCCCACCCCAGCCAGAACCCAAGTACCCAGGTTGCTGAACCCAGGTTTGGTCTGACCCCACCGGTCAGACACCTGGTGCTGTTCCCACCGCCTACAGCATATTTGGTGCCACGTGACTTGCCTGCTGGCAGATTCCAAGGCACATGCAGGGTCGACCTGACCCGGGTTGACCTGGCCCGGGAAGACGCCATCACTCCTTGTATTTCAGCTCCAGGCCCAGATGAGGACAAAAACAGCCAACGCTGACAGCAGGACCAGCTGCACTGAATACTGACCCCCTGCCCTGGTGCCTGCCTATCAATCATTGGAGACCACAACCCTGAAAGGATACACCTGAAGAACTGCGTGTATCCTACTAAGATCTTTCCCTGGGACGTCCCCAAAAATCTCTGCCTTCAAACGCTTAAGATGGAGGACCCAGTGCGCTCTCCCTCCCTAGAGCACACCTGTGCCTCTCCCTTCCCTCTCTCCCTCCCCACCCAGGTACATTACCATCAGCTTCCTCACTCCCAACCTCCAAGGGCCCTTCCTTCACCTCTGAACTTGTTGCCTAAGCCCATTTCTTCTAGATATTACTTCTACGCCTGTAATTTGCCCAATAAATGTCCTCTTACCAAAAAAAAAAAAAAAATAGGGAGATCAGTTAGAATATTCTTTTAACAGTTCAAGAGGAAAATAAAGGTTGTGAGGTAAAACTGCTCTAGGGCCCATTAGTGTTCACAGCCTTCTCTGGGTTCCGACCAGCTGACTCCATTAAAGGTGTGTGGGCAGAGCTGGTCCCCTCCTGCAACCACTTGGACAAGAGACCTTTCAGGATCATCCTCACCATTGAGTCCCTTCCTATTACTCTCAAAGACAGAGAGAGGCCTTCCTGCCAGTGCAGAACTACAGATGGATGGCTCAGAACTAGTTAATGCTGTTCCCTCACCACCAGAAGCTCTTAGGCCTCAACATCGGTTCTAGCCTGAGAAGAATGAAGTAAAGTTATCATGAGGACAAAAGTGATTGCAGGATATCAAACTGAGTTCACAGAACTAGCTAAATGCCACCACTCCCAACCCCACACACTGTTCCATCTAGGGTAGGTCTTTCTTCAGAGCCCTGATTACCCTCATTCCTGTAGATCACCTTCCACTAAGCCTTTTGAAGACTGACACCACACCCCATCCCATGACCCCCAAGTTGCCAGAGGTCACTATTAACTCTCAAGGATGCTGCCTCGAAACCAGCAAAAACTCTCATCCTTAAGATTCTAGGTATTCCCTTCTGAGCACAATATATTTATTCAAAAACAAAATTAAGATTCTGATACTAATTCTATAATTTCAAATACAAATAAAACCAAACTACTAAACTAGACTGTAGAGATGTAGTCATCACTTTTAAAGAGCAATATATATATGGCAGGATAGTGGTTACCACAGGGGGGAGGGTAGGAACAGTTTAGACAAAGTGCCTGAGGTAGGAAGGTTTCTGGGGGTGCTACAGTGTTTTAGTTTTCAATCTGGTTAGTGGTTCTACAGGTATTGGCTCTAATGTTATTCATTAGATTGTATGTATCCATGTTTTAGGTACCTTTCTATTTATTACATTACTCAATAAAAATCCTTTATAATAAAAGGCTAATATGCAAATTGACTGAGCAGTGGAATGAATGGTCACTATGATGCACACTGACCACCAGGGGGCAGACACCCAATGGTGAGTGAGCTTCCCCACAGGGGAAGCACCCCTCAGCCAGAAGCCGGGATCATGGCTGGAGAGCGCAGTGGTGGTGGCAGGAATCTCTCCTGCCTCTGTGCTTAAGGATGTCCAACTGCTGGCTTAGGCCTGCTCCCTGCAGGGAATGGGCCTAAGCCATCAGTCAGATATCCCCCAAGGGCTCCTGGACTGCAAGAGGATGAAGGCAGGGCTGAGGGAACCCCTGAGTGCACAAATTTTGTGCACCAGGCCTCTAGTGTTTATATAAAGGCAAGACTTTTGAGCCACAAAAATGTTTAAAACAACAAATATGCAAATACATATAGAAAATTCACTACAGAGAATAATTTAACTAATCTATACTAATAAAAGGGTAATATGCTTATTAGAACGGGTCGACCAGACATCTTTCGGTCATCCTGCCTTCCTTTCAGACAAAGCCACGGTGGCAGGGACCGAGGCAGAGGCAGTTAGGGGTGAATAGGCCAGCAGGGGAAAGCAGTTAGGGGCAATAGGCCAGCAGGGGAGGACAGTTAGGGGTGATCAGGCCGGCGGGAGAGTCCAGTTAGGGGCAATCAGGCCAGTGAG